TCGCCACAGTAGTACTTGACAGGACTAAACGAATTTTTTGTGATTTTTAGTTTAGTTCAGAGTTTTAGAACAACAGAATCAGCACCAATGTGTCATAAATGTTTTGCTAGCTAGTGATTTATGACCTGTTAGCTAGTTCTTAGATGTGCAGGTGAGATTGGTTTTGTTTTTATATCAAAAGGAGCGAACGACCAGAAGGGTCACATGTTGGTAAGTGTCCGCTGCAGGTGGATATCTGCACCTCAAAAGACCATAGTGCGTTGCCACCTTTTGTGAAAGGGGTAGGGGGGATTTGGGTTTTCGCTTCCGGTAACTACAGTCACTTAAAGAAAAGCAATAAAATAATTCCTTAACCGTTGTCTGTGAGGCCTTGGTGTCAAACTGGTCGAGCCGGGAAAAACATGGACAGGAAACCTATGCATAAGCTCTAACACAAAAAGAATCCAAATCTGATTGGAAGTTCCAGAGATAATCACGTTTAAACAAACAACCAAAAAACTCTTTTATCATCAGCTTATCGCAGTCCACGTCTGGACATAGGCCGCTCCCTTTGCATGACACTTCGAACAATTTTCGGCAAAACAAAAACTTTAAACATTTCTAGCTTCTTTTAATATTGTATAGATATTTTAATGAAGTTTTTACCTTAAAAAAGTAGGTAAATATATGTTTGTATTGTTAAATATGGAACAGGTAGTAGTGAACCGAATGATTGATCACATAGCCTATGGAAGAATTCGTTCAAAGTTCAGCGACACATCGTCTTGCCAAGTACCGGCTAGCCCAGTGCTCCGTTTGGCGCTGATGGGATCGGCGCCTGCGCATCCGACCGATGGACTACTTGAAAACGTGATCTGTGAGTTGTCGTACTAACTGTTTATTGAGTAAATACTGTATTCGTTTGGATAAGACTTTTTTTACAGTTTTTTTGGGGAATAAAGTTTTGTTTACCAGAAAAATGATTGATATTACTTACTTTTATTTTACGGCTTGATCACTTTTTTAAATGTTCTTGCTGTGAGAAACCCCTCTATCTTATTCAAGTCCCGACTATACAATTAACGTAATGACCCTCTTCTGGGTTAAAATTTGAATCCGTTCCTTCCCAAAGATGCCAAAATCTATCCAAAAAAAATTGAAGTATCTGTTTGTAATGTCAAAGCAATAGCTTTTTTTCTTGCTTATACGTTTTTTTTTGCACGATACCTATGCCTAAAAATCAGTTTAAATATTTTTTGTCTGTCTTTGTTTGTTCCGGGTGATCTTCAAAACATCTGGATTGATTACTACCAAGTAGCTGTCGATATAAGGAGCAACTTAGGCTATTCTCTCAGAAAAACCCTTTAAAATTTTTCCTGGTCCGGGATTCGAAATCACTAAGGCATCGCTTTTTAAATTCCACGCGAACGAAGTCGCGAGCACCAACTAGTAGTAACTAAAAATAGCAGACGCAAACAATAAGTGTGACCGATTTTTTTTTTAACATGTATTCATTTAAAAGAATAAGGTTTAACTATGTAATTATGTAGGAGTTCGACATGCTCACAAACCGGCATAATGATGATGTTCTATGAATATAAGTGCGTTTTCGGAACGTTAACAGAATCAAGTAAATTGAATAATTGCTGGAGGAAAGAGACGGTAGCGAGAATTGTGTGACACTGTGAGTGCGATAATTATAATTCTACGTAAATTGCTACGTATGTATTAGATTTAAATCGAATATAGAACACAGTGTTGTACAAAAAAAAGAACTATTTATAAATCATTATTAGCGGCCAGGTCACACTTATTCACTTATTATGATAATTTCTTACCTTTTAAAAGCGATAAAAACAAGAAGCAGCTACCTACGTTCACTTTAAATAAAATGCCAACGAACGGGTATAGAAACGGTAAACTGTTTTTTTTTTTAAATTAATGTCATAGCATTTTTTTTACGTCGCTTTGAATTTGGAATTATAAATAGTCTGAGGATATGGATTCACTACTCACGCAAAAACGGAAATAAACAAGGAAGTCTTAAGAGACATTTTATAATAAAAATAATAAGTTGACATGTCTACTCACACACGGCCGTCTGATCACAAATTAGGCAGTCTGTACTATGGTAACTAGACAGCTGATAAACTACTTAAAATACTTAAGTATTATAGATAAATTACACACAGACACAGAACAAACATTATCATGCTCATCACATAATTATTTGTCCTGAGTGAAATCGAACCCGCATCCTCTGACCAGACCAACAGGCAGTCAAGGACCTAGTAATTTTGAGTCGTGCCTTTATTAAGAAAAGCTATAGATGTAGTGTAGAGGCAACAAGTTAAGTTAAACATAAATTATTGCAAGATTTGCAAGCTGACAGACACGTAGAGATACGTTGAGGCAGAAGTGGCACTGGTGTACAATTAACAAGCCTAATTAAAATCCAGTTCTACTATAAAATATTTAAGCGACGAATATTTATATTTGACTACATTCGTTTTAAATTGACGAAGTAAATATGTAGAGTATAATGTCAACATATCATTTGTTTACTAAATGTGTGTGCTTAAGCCAAACAATTATTATTTTTTTGTGCCTGTCTGCCAGCGAAACGTTTGCACCAAGAGGTGTTTTAAGAAGAAGCTTTGGCTAATTTCATTTTGAGAAAAAGATTCCTACTGTAAGATAAAATAACATGTTATTGATTTTAACAAGTAAAACCGCTACCGACTGGATTATAAACAGATACCGTATGGCTTAACGATAAAAGATTTTCACTTAATGAGTCGTAGATACAAATAACATATAGGCACAGGTAATTCGCGTTTCGGCCTTGTTACATGACGTCTAATCAACACTAGATGCCGGTGTAATCGTGCTTTCCAAAAGCAAACATATATTATGTATTATTAAGTATGTTAATCAAAAACCTGGTTATTATAGTACAGGCTCTGCCTAGTTTGGGATCAGACGGCCGTGTTTGAGATGTATGCAATTATTATTAGATACTGCGAATGCACAACTATTAAAGTAGGCTCTGATTGACTTCTATATTAGCCGCATAACCGACAACCGTTGGGGAAAACGAGTTCTTGAGTGGAGACCGCGTCTTGGCAAACGTAGTGTAGGATGCCCACAGGCCAGGTGGAGTGACATTTGCGCAAGATGGCTGGCAGGAGCTGGATGCGAGAAGCCCAAAATTGATCTAAGTGGCATGCAATGGGAAAAGCCTTTGTTCAGCAGTGGACTGCGATAGGCTGATGATGATGATGATGATGATTGACTTCTGGGGTGCATACCTCCGTTATGTACCTAGAATTTTGTTTTTTTTTTTATGGCAATGTATCTATTGATAGTAATTCAGTTTACTCTTTCCATTTTAAGCTTTGACTTGTGGGCTCTTTTAGCCCACATAGTCATTACTCAAATAATCCGAATTTTAACGTTCTTTAAATTATTCCTTTTAAGATAATGAACGAAAACATTTTAAAACTATAAAAAGAAACATAAACTTCTAGTAGTCTCATGTGTAATGATGTGATGTGTAATTTCTGACGGCTAAGTATAGCACCGCACGCGTTAAATCAGTTCAAAGCCCACATCACATTAACAGCTTGTCATAGTCCACTGCTGGACATAGGCCTCTCCTTAGAAAAGAAAAGGCCTCCTCTGTTTGAGTAATGACTATGTCGGCTAATAGCCTTATATTTGTAAGATCTAGTTATTAATAAGTAGTAAATAAAAATATGGTTTCGGGGGTAAAGAGGCCGTAAGGTCGCCTGATGGTAGCATATAGTTATATTAACTAGCTTAGGAAAGCTGGCTGTAGGCGCGTAACAGCGTTGGAGAGAGAAAAAAGATTGTGCTGGTCTTTCTTCACTGATAGGATGTCAGTCCTCTTTAATAGCCAGGCACTATTTATTGTAGGGGGCTGTGACAACCAATCACTACTCTTACACAACTCTATCATAAAATACGTGTTTTTATTTTGGAATGAAAAAGTGCACTCTTTTTGAGACACCCTATAGATTGACACAGTATCATCTCTTGTCTATTTCTTTTTGGTATTTTTATTTAACATTGACCAAGCAAACTGTTGTTGCTATGTGTTTATCTATGATTATAATTATATTTAAAAAAGACGACAACATTTGATATTGGTAACCAGTTTTATGAAATAATGATATTGAATTTGAAATTTAATTGAAAATCGAACGTTCATTTATAAAATAGTCAAGTTCTAATCGTAGTCGCCTGCGCATGCACGAGCGTGCAGCACCTATTCGTGTGACGGATATCGTTTCGAATGTAATTTTCAACTGTGCTGGCAGATGGCGCCATGTTTCAAATTAATATATCCTTTTATGGTAAAACCTTTTAGCGTTTTATTTATGGTTAAACGTAAGATTTTAAAGCTCAAAGTCAGACAGCAGTAACCGTAATAAAATCGAGCTTCATTAAATTGCTTTTAAAAGTTTCTTTTAATTTTGTCAAGTATAAGAGTTCTTTAATCACACTGAAAAGATGTGTAGGAACTGCGTAAAATAAATCATTTAGAGCAAACGCATTGAAACAAAGATTTTCATAAATCAACAAGAAATTACATGAAATCTAAAAAATAAACAAAAATTATGACACATCTGCTCGTACGGCCCCTATTGCATAAAAAAAGCATTCACTTGATTTTTCAAATTATGAAAACAAAAATATGGTACTATGGTGGTAGTCCATCAGACTACCAAGTATATGTATTTTGTTTATATTTTGCCACTCGCATATGCTATATAGGTAAATATGAGATTTTTTGTCCACCACCTGTATATGTCGATTAATAATGCATTGATAAGTATTTACATGTGTAAAGTCATAGAATTAAAGTCCCGTTCTTAGCCGTTCCTACAATAAGTCAGGTTAGGCTAGCCGCTAGTATCGATGTTCCAGTGCGGCGGCCGCGTAGCTCGCCGAGGGCTATAGGCAGTGAGGTGTAGGCGTGCCCTAACACCGCTGACCGCTTGACCTCGACTCCCGGGTCAGGCTTGCGGTCAACGCACCGGCTTAGCCGCGTGCGCAATGCATTGTCGCCTGCACTTTCGTAAGCTTGACGGAATGCCATTTTGTAATTTTCAGATTTGGAATGTCGCTTTTAGTTTGCTTCGTATGTTGTCCTAAAATTTATGACGTGAACAAAATGTTTCTGTATAGAAGTATTTATCAATGTATATTAATATATAGTTTATACTAAAATTTATTCCGTAATACTGCGGCTGATGTTACTCCTCGTAACATCAGCCGTGATCAGCCTCTTGTTAGTGAGAGTCCCGTGAAAATTGGTTCAACTGTTTTCAGATTAGCCTAAACAAACAGATGGACTACTGTGTAAACATCCACATATGTGCATTTACTAAAAATCTGGTATTTCGACATATAAATAGACGATTTTTTTTAAATTAATTTGTATTTACTTTATCGAAAGCACAGTTGCATCGAAATGAAAGCATTCCAGTGAATTCTTAACATAAGTGATATAGGATATGGCCATATCTTGTTTCAAACGGTATTATTGGTATTTTAATGTTCATTTTATAAAAACTTGTTCAAAATAAAGTTGATGGGCCTTTTGATTTGGTGGTTAGCGACCCTAACTGTTCAGAGGTCGTGGTTTCGATTACCAACCAGGATAAATATTGTGTAATGTTTACGATCATTTGTTCTTTGTTTAATTTATCTATGAGATGGATCATCAACAACCTTTAATAGGCCTCTGCTGGACATAGGCCTCTCCTTAGAAAGGAGGTTTTGGCCTACTATACCACGCGGGCCAGACGGGTTGGTATGGGGTTCGTTCTGAGTTTTCCTTCTCTTTGCAGTGCTGTTGTCCTGCGTAGTATGCTTTCTCAGTCGGCTCTTACGACACCTACGGGATGAATAGAGGTGGTGATACTCTGTATTCTTAATCCGTCACCACACGGACGATGAGATGTATGTATGTTTTTAGAAATATATTTAAGGATCTTTAATTAAAAATATTTTATCACTAAAATTATAGTCGTCAAAATGTCGGCGTTAAAAACGTGATAAAGGACGTGAATATCTGTTTATGTTGTTCAAATTCTTCAAACTGTTAGTTCAACTGGTTGTGGTACACACATACCACAAGAAGACGGACGTATGACGTGGTTTACGGCGCGAACTGATAAATGCAATAATATTTATTAATAAAAAAAATGATGAATATAAATAAATATAAGATAAAACGGTATAATATAAGGTAAACCATTTTATCTAACGGGCGATTAATAACCTACGAAAAACACTAATTTTTTACCGATGATGAATTAAAAATATACTTGGCATGTAACTTGTAGCTCATAAATTATCCCACCGTAGTATTAAAAGTTCTACTCACGAGACTAAGGAATTATAGTCATTATTCATGATTTTATTTGCAATTATTCACTGCGCATACGCAGACGATGACAACCGCAGCAAAATTTTTTTTGATATCTAATCTATCTAACGATTAGTATGATTACAGGTAGGTAATCATACTAATCGTTTAACATTATTTCTATTTTTGTAATAATGCTAACAGATACTCGAAGGTAGTTTATAAATTATTATGATAGATCTTATGTCTGTATTTTTTTTAAGAATACGGCTTTAATAACCGTATCTAAACAGCGACTATAGAGATACATGGTGCAGGGCTATAGGGCTATCATGTAACTCTAACTCCTTCCACCTCCTAATTCCCGCCAAACATCACTTGTCTCTTTTTTTTTTAATTTACAAGTACCATTTCAACAAGCAACAGATACGTTATTTGATTTGTTGCGAACGTTCTTAATTTAAAACTTAATACAAATATTGATTACAGTAATTTGGTTCTAGAATTTCACATTAATATTTTTTCTAGTCACACCACATGGACGCGGTCAACGTCTCATTACATCCTTCTTCGACATCTTGATTTGATTCGTTTTTATGATCTAGAAATAGAAAAAAGTGGGACTATACCTGCCTGTTTATTATGCAGTTATGTTAATAAAATACTTAGAGGTAATAAACATGTTTCAATTCATATTAAGAAATAAGTACGCTGTAATTCCACGTTTAGTGAGAATAAGTACTAGGTACCTGTGTTTGAAAACGGTCCCATTGATGATGATTTTGAGATAAAACTTTTTGAGTCTAAAAATTCTTTTTAATTTTAGCTGTGTAGTTGGACTGTGTATTAAGAATACAGAATATCACCACCCCTATTCATCCCGTGGGTGTCGTAAGAGCCGACTAAGGGAACAAACTGCACAGGACAACAGCACTGCAAAAAGAAGGAAAACTTGAAGCAAACCCTATACCAACCCGTCTGGCCAGGGTGGTATAGTAGCCCAAAACCTCCTTTCTAAGGAGAGGCCTATGTCCAGCAGTGGACTATTATAGGTTGTTGATGATGATGATGATTGGCACTTATGCTAAAAATAAGAAAAAAATACAATTATGGTAGAATCCACATAAAATATCTCGACAATATCGTAGGCCAATTCGAAATCTTTTCCTAGTTTGTGTTTTTCTTGAAATCCACGCCCTGACGCATAGCGGTGACGAATAGTATTGGCTACTTTCTTTTTATGGTTATCAGTTTTAGGCGAGACAAACGATTGGGGTGAGAAAAACGGATAGAGAGAGTAAGGTAGGGTACGGTAAAGCGAAAGTCTTGGATGGGAAAAGGGAATCAGACTGCAGAAGTTCAAAGAGGCAAGGTCGCATGCCCTATGTCCGTCTCAACTTACCCATAATATGTATAATATATATTTTCCAGAAACTGACGGGCTTTTTGGTCTAGTAGTTAGTGAACCTGATTGCACAGCCAGTGGTCGTGGGTTCGATTCCATCACAAGTCTAACGTCGTATATCATAAATTATTATTAATTTTCACAAAACTAAGATAAACCGTCGTACATAAACACAAATTCACTTCGATGTTGCACGTCTTTGTCCTAACGGGTTAGTTAAGTACGGAAATTTTATATGCGAATCAATATGTTTAATATCTTTTACCGTTTGTATGTTTTGTGCGTTAGCAGACAAAGTTAATAATTCCTCTTGCTATAGACGCTTGCTAAAAAGGCATTTTACTGTGCCTGTATAGAGTTTATTTTTAACTGGCAACTAAGAGCTTTCTTGAAGAAATATATTCAAAATGTTATATAAAACTAGCTAATGACAACGATGCCGGGATAAAATGTAGCCCATGTCTTATTCTAGATTAAAATCTATCTCTTTCCCATATTTAACAAATCCGTTTAGCCGTTTTGGCGTGATAAAGTAAGTCCATCCATTCGGCAAATCAACTTTTTACATTTATACACATAAGTTAAGTTCGTTTGTGAATGCTTAAAAAAGTTTTATTAGTCTAGTTCGCCTTAAGAAATTGCTTTAAAAATAAATCTTCTATACTGTTGACATTATGAGTCATAGACAAGATTTCTACACTTAAATAAAAATAAAATATATTCTTTACGCGATAATAATTTATAGAAAATTAGTCGCACGCGCAAGATTTCTCTAACCTACATGCTATTGTATGTTCGCTACATATTTTATGTTAATAAACCGTGAATTTATCGAAAACATCAATAAATGATACGATAATTATTGTCAACATGCATGCTGTTAAAGACTGAGCGGGTATCTAATTGTCGTGGGAATTGGAGCATGGCTAATAATGAGGAATAGATGGGATCATAGTAATAACTATTGGACTAGTTACTAAGACACCTCAAGCGGTTCTAATCGGAGTTAATTTAATGGCATTTAATTTTTTTTACTGTCGCAATAACCACTTAGAACACGACTCGTCTAATGGTAAGCCGTTCTCGCTGTCTATAGGCAATTATTATGTCAACGTTGTCACAGCGGATGCATTACCAACCTTGTGACGTCACTATCATAGTACCCCTAAATAGTAGCACTTTATCCTCAGCACAGCAGTCGCATACGCTACGTACTGCACCAACAAGGCAATAATAAAAAAGTATACTTTATTTTAATAACATCATTTACTCAATCCAAATTCCATTTACAAAATCTACATATTATTCGAGTAATGCTAATGGGATGTGAATACGTGTAAAAGAGTCAGTATCTAGCCACCGCAAGGCGCCAACGCCAATTAATTATTTATCTTGGTCCTTCGAGCCTGGCATCTTTTACACGCCAGCAAAAAGGTGAAATGAAGTCAGTCTTGTTTTTTCTATTTTAAACGATAATGCTTTGGATTTTATTTAGTGTTGGATTGGTTTTAATTACAAATAATGGAACTACTGTGTCTCTTCTTTACTTTATACTGGTACATGCTACCGACTGTTTCCTTTTATTTTAAGTTAAAAAAAGGAATAGTACCTAATAAACATTTGTCTGCAATGTGTTCGATAAATTATGCTATCAGAGTAGAGATTATAAATTCTATTGTTAGGCTTTAGTATTTCTTTTGAATTGGACTTAGTTATGTTTAATACGCGGTATCTCTGTTTTTAGTGTTATTTCTTTTCTAGTTCCTTCTAATTTATTAGCTTTGTGCCGGTGAAAACCCTATCCATCTATTTCAAACAGACAAACAACCTAATTTACAAAGATGTTCATTTGTTGTAAGTGTCAATCAATTTGATATTAAAAACAGATGTGAGGGTATTAGTTACTAGAATAAATGTATACAGGAAGTAACAAAGTTGCCATACTAAGCAAGGGGAGTTAACAATGGCATATCTTCTATATATTGTCATCGCAACTGACAGAACAAGTTGCCTCATTTGCGTTCAGTAGCTAACGTTCTTGCAAATTAAGTTCTGTAACAGACTTTGTATCGTCTTTCTCACGACGTACGTCTAACTCTGCGGAAGTCTCTCGTTCAACGTGGTAAGATTAAGCCGTCGCATCGGAACAATACACTATTATGGCCTTTTATAGTATTGTCAAATGAATTTCTGTGATACAATGAACTTTAAATTATCATAATAATCATTGCAAGTTTTTTATAAATAAAAACCATGGTTAAAAACCATTATGTCGGGGCACCAGGGACTTCCTTTCTAGGGTATACCTGGTTCCCCGGCT